TATTTATAATAATCTTCTCACCACAATACCACATTTATACAGAAAACACATTCATACCACAATCATCAGTAGGTGAATTTAATAAATATTTATTAATATAATAAATAAATTTAATAAATATATATTGTGCAGTATATACAAAATATAATAAATAAATTTAATAAATATATATTGTGCAGTATATACAAAATATAATAAATCATTTTAATAAATATTTATTGTGCAATATATACAAAATATAATATATAAATTTAATGAATATATATTATGCAATATATACAAAATATAATAAATAAATTTAATAAATGTTTATTATGCAATATATACAAAATATTATAACAAATTTAATAAATTTTTATTGTTGCAATATATACAAAATATAATAAAAAATAATAAATATTTACTGTGCGATATATACAAATCATAAAATTTTAATAAATATTTATTGTGCAATATATACAAAATATAATAAAAAAATAATATTTATTGTGTAATATATAAAAATCTAATAAATAAATTTAATAAATATTTATTGTGCAATATATACAAATTCTAATAAATAAATTTAATAAATAGTTATTGTGCAATATATACAAAATATAAAAAATGTAATAAATATTTATTGTGCAATATATACAAAATGTAATAAATAGATTGAATTAATATTTATTGTGCAATATATACAAAATATAATAAATAATTTTAATAAATATTTATTGTGCAATATATAAAATATAATTTTAATTAATAAATTTAATAAATATTTATTGTACAAATATATACAAATTGTGGCAAATGGCCAGAATTGGGGAATGGAGAAGCTTCTCCGTTCTTCAATTTAACTAGCCGGATTCAGTGACCTAAATATACTTATAATACTCCTCTCACTATAATACCATATTTATACAGAAACATATCAATACCGTACTCATCAGAACGTGCATTCTCTGCATGAGATCCTAAACTAAATCGCCATATTTACAAACATGTGGTAAGATGGATAAAAAAATATATGATTTTTTATTTGAATAATAATAAAAATAACCCCATGGCATAAATGAAAAGAAAATGTTTGTGTGGATTCCTCCACTACGGCTAAATGTGTCAGAAAACAAGTTAACTGGTCGAAAAGTACAGAGGGAACGTGTAAAAAAAAGAAATTAAAAACAAGAAAATCAAAATCAAATCAAAAACAAAATGCTGCCACCTCTTCAGAGAACTAAGTCTTCTTTCACCTAAAAGTGGATGGGAATGAAAAAGAAAACAAACAAAATAGTGCCAATGACTATTTACTCCATAGTTAAGTTAACCAATTTTTGAAAAACAAAATGAGACGACATTCTTACACTAACCTAACTGGGTTGGGCGGCATATCTTTCTCGGAAGAACCTGCAACCAGTCAACTTGAGATGTGATTGTAGCTTAGTACCATTCACTCGCACCAGTTGTGCTACAGTTATCCACCTTCCAGCAAACTCCTCGGAAGAAAGCATCTCCCTCTAGAAATTGATCTTAACCTTCAGCTGGTGCCTGAAGAAGGCAACCGAATATTGGGAAAATAGAGACAATACCCCGTGAACTTCATTCATCCTGGTCCTTAATACTATCATAGGCATCACGGCTAGCAAGCACAGATGCAAAAGATATTTCATCCTGTCCTACAACGGACTCAGCTTGCTACAACCGGAAGTGGCATCCAGGACGGCATACAGTCAATGTATTAGCAAGTAAGTGAATGTAATGGATTCTTGGGAAAGGTATGAATCTTCTTCTTCTCCCCACTCCCTAGCTATGTGTAAATAGCAGGACAGACCGCGTTCTATAGCCTTAGATGGCAACTTGTCTAGGAGAAGGACAAGTCTGAATTGAAAACCTGATCCTCCAGATTGGGGGTTGTACAGTAGGCTAACAACCTACTCACTTAAAAAACTGGCTTGTTATAGAAAACACAATACGCTTGGAGGGAAGAATATAAATAAATAAAGAAGGCAACTGAATATTTGGAAGATAGAGACAATACCCCGTGAACTTTATTCATCCTAGTCGTTAATACTATCATAGGCATCACGGCTAGCAAGCACAGATGCAGAAGATATTTCATCCTGTCCTACAATGAGCTCACCTTGCTACAACCGGAAGTAGCATTCAGGGCAAATAATTGTTTGGGTTTCCTGGTTAAAAGTTTATGAAAATAGTCCCGAAATTCCCCGTATAAGCTCTCGGCCGTCGTCAGGGCTTTCACATCTGGCGATTTGACACGTGCAATATACCGATCGGAAGTACGTAATTCTGCGACCATATTCGTTTAATCGGCAGACATTCTATTTAACCTTGCTCAAACTACCTGAGCTTGGTCCTTCCTGATATGCAAGAAAGGCAGCTCTGGCTAATCCATCCGGGAATCGCTGCATAAATACCACCTCCCAAATTTATAAACAAATCAGACAGATATTTGTTGAAATGTCTACCTATCCAATAAAATGGATCACATCTCGATCTCATTCGTCATAATTTTTGTTCTTTCTTGTCTTGAAGTCAGAATGGTATAATTATTTGACTGTATCCCTTTTGCGTGTTAACGCCATTCTTAATTTGAGAAAATTTTTCCTGATTACTTTTGTCTTGCATATGTATCATTCGCTTAGTATTATGTCGACTTGCTCTCTTTCGTTTCTTATTGCTTATTGAAGTAATTTCGTTTTTGTTTTGTCAATTCCGTTTTGTGGGGGCATTTTGTCAATTCCGTTTCGTGGGGGCATTTTGTCAATTCCGTTTTGTGGGGGCATTTTGTCAATTCCGTTTTATGAGTGTATATTGAAAATTCCGTTTTGTGGGGACATTTTGTCAATTCCGTTTTGTGGGGGCATTTTGAAAATTCCGTTTCGTGGGGGCATTTTGTCAGTTTTGTTTTGTGGGAGCATTTTGTCAATTCCGTTTTATAGGGGTATATTAAAAATTCCGGCATTTTGACAGTTTCGTTTTGTGGAGACATTTTTGAAAATTACATTTAAACATGAACAATTACGCTACAACATTTCTAATTGCAACGTAGAATTTCTTAGAGTAAACTACTTAATAAAATGAAAACTTGGGAAATCCGAAAAAATTTCTGAATATATTGATGCATTATAAGACTGACATGTAAGGGAACTTCGAAATGCTGTAACGGTTAGCAAATTCGTCTTGCTATATCAACTACAACTGAATAATGAGTTCGATTCTCACAGGGAGCCTCATACCTTTAGCCTTGCACCCCTATAAGCTATGCTTAGAAAATCACCATAAAACTGATGCGCAGTACATCACTTCAAATATTAAGTAAAATATCTGGTACTTTATTAGTACCAATAACTCTCAGAATAATAATTGCTATTTTGTAGTAATATGGACATTCGCTTTTGTAGTTAAGTGTACATGAATTTATGCTGGTGGGTTTTTTAAATGAAGAAATAGTAAATCTGTTATTAATTGTGTTTATCAATATGTCAAGCAATAGCAATTATAAAAAATCTAATCGCGCAGAAACTAATTCATCTACAATACAGATTTTTTTACAGTGAACTAAAGAATATAAAACAAACACCTAATAATAGCTTTCCAAACTATACAGTTGATGAAAAAATAAGATGCTTTCTTAGAAGTCTTGATACTAAGCAAATACTTCTTCAACTAATCCCAAATATATTAACCTCCTATATCGTAGTTAAATGAAATATACTAAAAAAATTAGTAAATACTAATATATCTACAACAGATCCTAGCAAAAAAGTTTGTGATTTGCAAGAAAACAACATAGTTTACAAATTCAAGTGCCCTTTGGGAGATTGTATCTCCAATGGATTAAATAATATTTATGTTGGCCACACCACAAACTCGCTTTCACGACGCTTGAATCTACATTTGAATGAAAACTTTTTAGGCATTTAAAACAACATGCCTGGCCGCAAACACAATTCCGGAAAATCCTCGTTGAAAACACAACTAGACTTAAACATGAAAACAATAAACAAAAACTAAAAGTTCTTGAAGCTATATACATAAAACAGTTGAAACCTAACCTGAAAAAATTAAACTACGAAATCTCCACAAATATTCTTAAATGCCTATAATTGATAACAGAAGCCATTGGTTTATACCAACAGCTTCCCATAATTAATACTTCTGGTTATCACTCTAGCGTGGTCATGTGTGACGTCACGAGCTGCGACGCAATTTTCGCTTCCGCGTCTCGCATGCACAAGTTCGTCGCTGCTTTGAAATTTTTCATGCAACAAAAACAGACTATCATTATTGTTTTGTCCGCATATTATTTGATATATTGAAATGTAATTGTCATCTTTGATAATGGCTTATGTAAGCCGAAAGCTTAGATAGGATTAAAATATGTATCAATATGGCGATTTCCTTTCGTCTTTCAATGATAATGTTATTAAGCTTATCAGACAATATGAAAGGAACTTACTTAAAATAAATAGACAAAACTTGGCAATATTATTTAATGAAACATGCATTAATGAAAAATTGCTGCCTAAATACACACAATACACACACACACACACACATATATATATATACCATATTTTTAAATCAGTTAATTTATAATATATATATATATATATATATATATATATATATATACCATATATGTGTGCGTGTTCGTTGAGTGTAGGGCCACGGCGAAAATAAGCTAGGTGTTGCCGCTGTGGTTTCTGTAGCAAGTAGGGGGGTTGCTAGCACGACGCTCATTCGGTTTTGAATTCATATTTGTATTTTTCTTAGACTGGTTGCCAGCCAAGTCGCCAAGAGTGTGGCTTAGTATTAACCACTACGTGTTCGATTCATCCATTTCAAGGTGTTTTTTGTACGGAAGCGAAGACACCGGCCTGGGCTAGAATGGGAACTCGGAACGCCATGTCCACTTTCCGTGTCGATAACAACCAGACTCCATGCACATCGATTTCGCTAAAATTAATCCCATTATAATACAAGCCTTTTAAAATATGTCTTCTTTTTTTTTTATCATTCCTTCTACTTTTTCATTTCCTCCACTTCTTTCTGTTTGTTTTTCTTTGTCCTTTTTTCTTTTTCTCTTCTAATTTTTTTCATCATTTCTAATTCTATTGCATCTTCTATTTCTTTTTATTTCTGTTTGTATTTCATTTTCTACGTTTTGTTTATCTGTTTTTCTTCTTGAACGCCATATTCATTTTTTTTTGTCCTCGGGTTTCGTCTTTCCATGATTCTGCCTTTTCTTATAATTTTTTAGTTGTTCCTGACCTCATCATTTATTTAATTACGCCCCTTTTTATGGGGTCTACCTGCGGTGTAGTGTCATGAATGAAAAATCGATGTTCGAATTCCAGTCGGGTCGTTATATTCACTTACGCGTTAATACTCTTGAAAAAGGTACCATTTCATCTCTTCTCCAAAATCTATGGGTTAAACAACATTACAGACTGTTTCCTTGTAGACTTGCTTGGCTACTAGTCTACCACAGAATAAAACAGCAACTTACTACTGCTGGAAAATTTTCTGCTTAGTCAGTCATAAATCAAAAGAAACCACGATCGCCATAGCGTGTATTACGTATGGCACTTAACTGACTGCTAAAAATGATTTCGTTAAAATTCATTCATAATAAATTTATTTTAAAATTTTTCTTCTTTTACTGCTGTAAATATTTTTTTCCTTTCTATTTCTTCATCAATATCAATTCATTCCTCTTCTATGTCTTCAGTTTCTACGTAGCATTAATGTTTCTGATAGTGCAGTGATTATTTCTGTCTAAATTTGTCGGATGAGGAATCATCATTATTTAAATTTGGGACCAATGTTCTGATCTTTGAATCTTTCAGCCGTTGTGTCATTCAGCCTCGTTCAGAAATTTGTCGATCTACGTAACGTTCATAGAATTTTGAATTGATCCCTTTAATTAATCTAGAGTCTGTACTACCCGACCCATGGACGGAACTCAGCAGTACTATGCCGACAAATTCAGGAAACAACACTTTCATCCAACTGGCAATTGTGTCGTGGGACAAAGAACTTCATATAACTTAGCAGATTCTTTATGTTATAAAAAAATAAATTAGAAGCAAAAAATGTTTTGTTATTTTCTTACTGCGATTTTATTTTATTTTTCTGACGGTTTGTCGCAGTTGCTAATATTTTTTACCCTAAAATTCAAATTAATTAACACTTATTTTTCTTTAATAAAATCGTGTAATTATTATTGTTAATAATATTAATAAAAATGATTACTTTTTGTATTAATCGGTTACATTTTAATTTTACTTGTTTAATAGGAGTTCTATAATTTTTTTAATTATTTCAATAGGTTTTTATTAACTTAATAGGGTTTCATTTCTTAGGTTAACCCTTTGACCCTTGCGTTCCTGAACTATTTTTTAACTCTTCTGCCTGATCTCCCGAGTCAAAATTCGCAAATAATTGATATGTAATGTTTAACGTTAGATATAAAAATAGTAACTAGTATTTAACCACGGTTAAACCGGAGGCTGGGCATAAAGTAATCTTTCTCTACCTCTGATCAACCGGAGGCTGGGCATGAAGTAATCTTTCCCTACCTCTGATCAACCGGAGGCTGGGCATGAAGTAATCTTTCTTTACCTCTGATCAACCGGAGGCTGGGCATGAAGTAATCTTTCTCTACTTCTGATCAACCGGAGGCGGGGCATGATGTAATCTTTCTCTACCACTGATCAACCAGATGCTGGGCATGAAGTAATCTTTCTCTACCACTGATCAACCGGAGGCTGGGCATGAAGTAATCTTTCTCTACCTCTGATTAACCGGAGGCTGGGCATGAAGCAATCTTTCTCTACCACTGATCAACCGGAGGCTGGGCATGAAGTAATCTTTCTCTATCACTGATCAACCGGAGGCTGGGCATGAAGTAATCTTTCTCTTCCACTGATCAACCGGAGGCTGGGCATGAAGTAATCTTTCTCTACCTCTGATCAACCGGAGGCTGGGCATGAAGTAATCTTTCTCTAACTCTGATCAACCGGAGGCTGGGCATGAAGTAATCTTTCTCTACCTCTGATCAACCGGAGGCTGGGCATGAAGTAATCTTTCTCTATCACTGATCAACCGGAGGCTGGGCATGAAGTAATCTTTCTCTACCACTGATCAACCGGAGGCTGGGCATGAAGTAATCTTTCTCTACCTCTGATCAACCGGAGGCTGGGCATGAAGTTATCTTTCTCTACCTCTGATCAACCGGTGGCTGAGCATTACGTAATTATTCTCTACCACCGGTAAAACGGTGGTGAGCGCTCAAAGAGTTAATCTTATTCATATGTGGGGATTTCAGTTACTATTACTTTTAGATTTCTTTCTTTTTCTTTTTTTCTTCTTCTTCTTACTTCTCTCTATTCCATTCTCTTTCTCTTCTGTATATTCAGTCTCTCTCTTTTTTTTCGGTCCCTTTTTTGTCCTTCTTCTCGCCCTTTTCCCATTTTCTCTTCCGTAATTTATTTCTTCCCTTTCCTCTTCTTTGCTTCTGTCTCTATAATTCTCCTCACTATCTTTCTTCTTTTTCTTCTTCATTCATCCTTCAATTCTTTTCCATTTTATTATTGTCAATCTTATTCGTCGTCTTCTTCCTCCTATGCCCATGTCTTCTTTTGTTTTCGTCTTTCTTTTTTACATATTTACTCTCTTTTATTCTATCAACTAATTACTTTTTATTCCTTTTCTTCCTTTTGTCGTTTCTTCTCATTCCGTTGTCCTTTCTATCTTTTCCTACTCCTTATTACATTTTTACTCCATTTTTTTTTTTAAAAACAAAAAACGTTTTAATATACTCTTGCTCTGTATTTCCCCTGTGAGCTTATCAGTGTACATCATGATATTCCCTAATGGTCGTGCTTGCTGGTAGAGGGCTAAACTAATTTCGCAAAGTAGAACGAATAAAAAAATATTTAAAATAAGAAAACCGTACGAATAAAAAAAAAAAAATATTAAAATGTATAAAGATGATCAGAAATTATTGCACTTTTCGCAAAATATTCATTTTACAAATATTAATTTTTAATTGCTAAAAATATCACGATTTTGCATGAATGTCATTGAATCTGAAAATCTTCATTTGCAGGAGGATAAAAGATAATTATTTATAAGCCTATTGTCTTTTTACTAATCCTGGCTTAGTCTGACACAATGGATATATTCAGACATATAAAGTTACATAGATAAAAGTCGACTAACATAAATATACAGAAAAACACACAGATAAACACACACACATATATATATATATATATATATATATATATATATATATATATACACACATATAATATATATATATATATATATATATATATATATATATATATATATACATTATCAAATGGACAAAGTCCGTCAATTATTTTTAAGACATTTTTTATGTTTATACGTTTTTTTTATATATATAAATATTTAAGTGCTCTGTTTATAATAAACAGTATTAACAACATTTACCGGCCTGAATGTACGAGAAATCTTCATAAAAAATATGCGTCCTCCAAGAGGAATCGAACCTGCATCCTATACAGAACTATCATATAGTATATATAAAAGTAAAATTGACTTTGTTCATGTGGGCGCGGAGGGCCGCTTGATCGTGGCCGATATTGCCGTGAACAGTGGTTCGTTTCGGGTCGTTGCGGTTTATGCGCCCAACGACCAGAGTAGGCGTGTCGACTTTTTTCCGTCAGTTGGGTCCGTTCCTGGTTGATTCGTCGCGTTTAGTCTTAATGGGGGACTGCAATGCCGCCCTGGACCCCAAGATAGATAGGGGCGGGGAGCTAGCGGGAAAACATCGGGCGATCGTAGCCTGGTTGATCTGATCGGCGAATTTGGGCTCGTCGATAGATGCCAGGTCGATCATCCGAGGGTTCGTAGTTGGCCGTATCTCCAGGTAGCCAGCTTTGTGAGAAGAGTCGATCTAGATTTACTAGATTGTCCCACATTCCACCGTGTAGACTATTCTGATCATAGACTTGTCTGTGCCTGGATGGTGTTAGGTACAAGGCCTAGAATGGTTGGACACTGGAAGTTCAATCTGTCCTTACTGGACAGTAGGGACTTTCAGCAACAGCTAATTCGATTAGTGCAGCGGGAATTAGTAGGGGCTTATAGGGAGTAAGTGGTGGGAGAGGCTTAAGGATAGGATTAGGTCCTTCACCACTGAATATAGCCAACGACTCGCTCTAGATAAGGCTAAAAAGGTGATGACTCTAGAGGATAGTTTGTCCCGGGCGGTGGCTGGGGGGATTCCCTAGAAATAGCCGTAGTTAGGCAGGCCCTGAAGCGTGAGGCTACCAAGCGCTATCAGGGTCAGGTAGTTAGACATAGGTTAAACAAGATGTCTAACGAAGCTGTGAACATGGGCGCAGAAATGCGTAAGGAAGAGATCCGTCGAGGTTCCGATCGATACATTCGTGAGGTCATTACCCCGGATGGGCGCTCTCTGAGGTCGACCAAAGAAATATGCGAGGCGTTTCGGCGGCATTTCGAGAGCCGCTTTACCAAGAAGCCTGGTCTCAATGACGACGAGTTTCGCAGCTATTTGGCTGACTTTCCTCGGCTCTCGCCGACTGAAGCAGCTAGCTGCGAGGTTGAGATCACGGAGGGCGAAGTCTACTTGGCATTGAAGAAGGTCGGCAGAGGCAAGTCTCCGGGACTTCATGGTCTGCCCTACGAAATGTACTTGAGGCTGTCGCACAGCTTTGTCCCGATTTTGACAGTGTTGTTCAACAACTGGTTCCGGCAGGGGTCCATCCTCACCCGGATATCCAGGGGTGTGATCACGCTGTTGAAAAAGGGCAAGGGTGTTGGGCGGGATTTAGATGATTACAGGCCCATAACTCTGCTAAACACAGAGTTAAAGATTTTGGCCAAGATCCTGACGGAGAGGTTGCAGTCAGTTGTCGCGAGCTTGCTGGGACTTGAGCAGACTTGTGTTGTGAGGGGACGAACAATTCAAAGCAACCTGCATCTTATCCGCACGATCATAAAGGGTGTAAAAGTCGACAAGCAAGCCGCTCTGATCAATTTGGATCAGTCCAAGTCATTTGACAGGTTTGATCATCAGTACATGGCTGCTGTCCTGCAGGCCGCCGGATTCGAACCCGACTTCTGCAGGTGGATTAGCCTCCTGTATCGCACCCCCAGTGCTATGGTACAAGTGAACGGAAAGCGGTTGAGCGCTTTTGCGCTAACCCGGTCGGTCCGACAGGGGTGCCCAATGTCGCCTTTATTTTATGCTTTGGCGTTGGAAGCCCTTCCTTCATTGGCTAAGAGATAGGGCGTGCAGTCCGGCGCTACGCGGAATAGCCGTCTTCCCTGGTAGTGCTCGAGCTAGGGTGTCTGCGTACGCCGATGACGTATCCATCTTCGTGACATTAAGGTGGCGCAGAAGGCACTTGAACGGTACGAGAAGGTGACGGGGGACAAGATTAACCGCAACAAATCTCTCGGCTTGCGGTTAGGTGTCTGGAAGGGGGTCGCGCTTCCGGGGTCATTTGGCTGGACTGATGGGCCCGTCTGCATCCTTGGAGTGTGGTTCGGGCCCGGACTCCGGCTGAAGAAGAATTGGTCAGAAGTACAGGCAAAGGTCAGAGCGTTGGTCCGTATTTGGCTTCGAAGGGGGTTGTCCTTAAAGTGTAGGGCTGAGGCATGTACCACTTACGTCTTGCCCCTCATCCTTTACCGCTTGGTTGTACTTCCTCTTTACGGGAAACGTATGAAGGCGATCGATCGTTTGTTGATCACCCTCTTGTGGGGTGGTCGCAAGCATTAGGTCCGTAAAGAAACCTGTTACCAGCGTCCGTGTCATGGGGTTGGGGTTGGGATTGCCACACCTGGAAAGTCATCGCCATGCCTCAAGGTTGGCTTTCCTATGCCGAGTTTTGACGGAGGACTCGATTTTGGCGCCGAGTATTAGGGACGCCTTCCCTAGCCTTACTATCACTCCCCCCATATCTAGGGGTAAGCACCGTGGCGGTTGTGGATGGTTGTCAAGTTTCTTCAGTGAGTGTCGGGCGGCCTTGAAGGTCCTTCCTCGGTCCAGTCACCTTTCTTGGCGTCGGAGACTATTGCATCAGGAATTAGTGGAGGGGGGTCGCGAAGGATCCTCTGTGGGGCCGGCTCGGCTTGTTGGCATCAGAGCTGCGCTCTTTTTGGTCTTGGGCGCCAGCGGCGGATTATCTCAGTAACCCTGAGTTTTCGCTTAGCTGGCGATTGATTTGGAACGTACTCAATGACGTACTCTTCAGATGGGGCCAGACAGATTGTCATCGGTGTGACCTTGGATTAGAGGAAACGGCATCGCACGCCTTCTACAGGTGCGCCTTTTCTGGAATTATGTCGGCGATCTGACGGCTCGTATCTCTCCCGATCAGTTCCATCGATCTCGAGTACGTGTGTGACAATGTGTCGCCCCCGTTCTCTGGGGTAAAACGGATGGTGTTTTTCACGTTTCTAGCCGTGGCTAGAATGGTCGTGTGTATGTCGCGAAAGGAGGGAATTTTGCGAAATGAACGTTATTCGTATCAGGATCTGATTGTTTTCTTTAAGCATCAGCTTAAGGTAAAAATCAGATCTGATCGATAGGGTTTGATTTCGACAGATTTCAGTGAAAGGTGGGTGACTGAGGCGAGCCTGGTTCGTGAGGACAGGGCTAGCCTTGATTTTCTTTTTTTTTTAAGTCCCCTTAACGCAACGGGGCGTGTTCCTTGTTAATGTGAATAAGTTTTGTTCCCGGTCCATTCCAGGCTTTTTCTTCTGTTATGGTTCATGTCGAGATTCCCAATCTCCCCAGTTTGTTTAAGTCCCCTTTTTTCATCTCGGCTGAGTCAGCCTTTGATTTCCCCATTCCGTCATTTATTTTTCCCTCCCCATTCCATTAGTGAGTGTGCTTCTTGATTCTATCTATCGATAGAATACAGCGGCCACACTTATTATTTTGAGGGGGTGGGCGGTTTCTACTAATATTCCTTTGATTTTGCTTCATCATTGGTTGGATTTTTGAATTTTTGTTTGGGTTCATCTCCCCTCCCCATCATTTCATGTTTCATGGGATTTTTTTATATATATATATATATATATATATATATATATATATATATATGTGAACATTACAAATTTTTACACCATGGGGTGTTTTTGTAGGACCCTTCTGAATATGTGGTATTTGGGTGTGTGCAGGATTGTGCGGTGATGGATGAGTTGTTGTGGTGAATGTGTAATTGTAATGATTATGGTTAATTAGGAATAGGATAGCTAGAGAAAGACCAGCCTCTACCCACTTCCACTTCGGCCTTGTGCCAAAATTTTGTAATTTTACAAAATAAATATAAAGACACAAGAAGGTAGTCATATTAGCAGGTAAATCACTTGACTTTGACTGACATTCGAACTCGTGTCCCATGGTCAGAAAGGTTCAAATGTCCACATATATATATATATATATATATATATATATATATATATATATATATATATATATATATATATATATATCATCTATTTATATACTCGTATATATATATACATATATATAAAAGAAATATGTTGTAGTGGTTCCAACGAGAGAAAAGTATGTATATTAAAAAGAAGAGAGGTGCCGCAAACGTTTTTGGTTGTAATGTGGATTTATTTAGAAAAAATATTATGCTTTGTTTTACATAATTTTACTACGACACGTGTTTCTGGTCTCGCGACCGTCTTCAGGTAAAAGTAGAGATTTCTACATATTATTAAAAATAATTAATTTTTCTTCATGTTCAATGTGAAATGTTCTCGATATGAGACATTCTCTGTTTGTGTGTTGGCAATCCGAATTTTCTTTCTAGAATTGTTGTGAAAATGTTTGGTCTGATGAGTTAAAAAGTAGGATCGGTTTTAACGAAATAAAATATTACCATATATATATATATATATATATATATATATATATATATATATATATATATATATATATATATGAAGAAATATAGTTTTAAGGTGAGCTATATTTGTGGGATAAAGTGCTCAATATCAGAGATAGAGCGTATGTAAATATAACTATAAAAGTGAACACTGAAGTCAACAATCAGAGTCGACAGGCTGTTTCATGCTAAACGCAATCATCAGGCCACATTTCAGTTTTTCTCGACTCTCGAAATAGTCGAGAAAAACACAGCGCATGTAACCTGATGATTGCTTCTAGCATGAAAGTCTATCGCCTCTGAGTGTTGACATCAATGTTCAATTTTACATTTATACACACACATACACACACACACACATATATATGTGTGTATGCATAATATATATATATATATATATATATATATAGAGAGAGAGAGAGATAGATAGATAGATAGATAAATAGAGAGAGAGAGAGAGAGAATGTGATAGATAGATAGATAGATAGATAGATAGATAGCTACTTAATGATATTATTTGATAATCTGTATGGATAATTCCAAAGAGGTTATAGATCCAGAGAGATATTATAATGAAAAGGGAATCTTTAAAAGATTATGATAATATTTTATTTCTTTAAAACCGATACGACATTTTTTAACTCATCAGACCAAACATTTTCACACACACGCACACACACACACATATATATATATGCGAGTATATAAATAGATGAGAGTCGGTTAATATACACAGATGTATAGAGATAGATAAAAATGGATAAAAATAAACAGAGATTGATTGATAGACTGAGAAGCAACAAAGAAGGATAGATATAAAAAAAAACGAAATAGCGATTTACAAAACATCGTGTAGATGTTTTACGTGGCCGAACGTTTGTAGAACGTTGGGATAATCGACCACGTTACTCAGTCGTAATAGATCAAGGGAGATAAGCTTGCTAACCATTACATCACGTCGAAGTGCTTATGATCGATAGTAACAATGCTAGATATATAATGACAAAATAGATCGATATGAACAAAAAAATTGGTTGCTAACTATGACCAGCTTGTGATAGATATAGACATCATGAATTTTCAATCTAAAATAACCAATACTTTTCGGATTGAAAAAATCGCATTCGTTGTGATTAAAAGTAGCTGTTCTATTAACGTAAAAGAACCACACGAAGGAATTAAATCGTAATTTAATCAGCAAACACTTGATTAAACATCAAGAGATAGAAATTTTAGTCGGGAAAACTGAATGTGAAAAATGTTTTTTCATGAAAAACAAGCTTTAATCATTTGATTAAACATTTTTTCCATAAAAAAAAGCTATTCACATTTTTTTCATCATTTGCAAATTGTAGCTTTTCTATTATCAATAATGTTAATTGGAAAGTATCAATCGATTATTGTCATTAGAATTTCAGCAATCGATCTAATAATTACTTTCTCGATATAGGTTCATTAATAGATTTTATTGAATATCTATCTATCTATCTATCTATCTATCTATCTATCTCAGTCTGACCATTATCTATCTAGCTGACATCTGAGGAATTTTTAATCTGTTTGAATATTTTTGTATACATACATACATATATAGATGATAGTTATCGACTCGTTCAACGAGTATGACTATCGCTGACAAGTTTCATCCGTGATTTTAGTTCTCGGGAAAACAACAATTGAGTAAGTGAGTGACTTGCAATGAGTAGTGCCAATGCGGTAAATTAAGTTGTTCTGTACAGGGCCTGGTCTGTTTGTAAGTTCTTTTCAGGCCTTACTGTGACGGGTGTGACACAAACCGTTTTTGCATATTTTCTGATATACCCCGCATATTAAATTATTTCAAGCGTAGTTCTACCAATATGATACTTCTGGTGGTTAACGAGGCCTATATTGGAGAGATTTAATCTACCACCTTCATCATATCGAAACTGATGAAGTGCCTAATCAAATAATTCTCTTTTCATAGCAGCACATTTAACATTTGCCCAACTCGTTGGATGTTCCTGGAAGATCTTCGTGCCTTCATTGATTGTACGCTTTCAGATCAAAAGCAATGGTTTCTCACTCAAGATCAGCTACATGGCAGGATGCAAGAGACTCTTTTAAGCAGTCATTGAAGTGCTTTTTGGGTTTATGCTGGGTTGAATTCTGTAGAGAATCTCACCGTAGATCGTTTGGTTTGTTATTCTGTTATCTTCAAGGCGAAATGAGACGGCTTGTTAAGCGAAGCCCCTGGCAATTAATGTGCGTTTCGATGCTGATTACATCAGCGTTTTCGATGATCACAGTGTCTGGCGTATGCCATATCTCGAGGATACGAAGAGTTGATCATAAACAGCGTTAGTGAATTGAGAGCCTGGGGGACACAACTTATGTGTTACAAGAACATCGAAGCCTAGACAGTATCAAATGTTTACTTAATCGTTAAAAATGAAGACACTTTCTATAGATTCCCAAGATATATAAAATTGGGCAGTTTATAGCTCATAACAAATATGGAGATACACAAATGCATATCTATTCCAGCGTTTCTTAACGTTTTTACCCTTGTGAAAACATTTAAATACTTTACATGTCTCATGGAACCACTACATAAGAAATTAAAATATACCATTATTAATATCTATTCCTTTTATTATATACCATCATCAATAGCTATCTCTTTTATTATATACCACTACTAATATTGTATTTTAGATCTTTTATATCTTTAACGATTATTATTTAGTTGAGTAGATGTCCTGTTTATTTTAAAAGGTATATTTAATTTTGTCTACCGCGTTGATTGTTTGAGAAATCTTATTAAAGAAAAAAAAAAATATATATATATATATATATATATATATATATATATATATATATATATATGTGCGTGTGTGTGTGTGGTTTGTCATCCACAGAGAGACTATCTAGACATTATTCTGGTGAGAATGTAGAATCCACGTTCGAGGAAGCCCTAAAGCATACACCCGTTCACCGAATGTAAAGAATGATAACGTTACATATTTCAAAAAGGTATATTTATTTTTGTCGACCACCTTGATTATTCGAGAAACCTTATTAAAAAAATTATTTCCTCTCCTCCTTTCTAATAAAAGCATTATATATATATATATATATATATATATATATATATATATATATATATATATATATATATATTATTCCGGTGAGAATGTAGAATCCTCGTTCGGAGAAAGCCCGAAAGCCATGCTCACCGAGTGAAAAGCATGATAATGTTACATATTTGTCCTTGTGATCTCATTATTCGGCACGTCGATAGAATTTCATAAGGGGTGACTGGGCATCCTCCTCGACCTTGCTGTACAGAATGCAGAGCAAATATGACCTTCGGTATATAAAACACAAGAGAAATGGGAGCACTCTTTTTCGTTTTTGGAAGAACGTGAGTTTTATAAACAGAAAATCCATTGAATTGAATAAAGTCAGCAAATGAAAAAGAGAAGCAAAACTTAAAATAATCAAAGAGAGAATAAAATTATCTTTGTTTCTGATGTAAATTTAAAGAAGAAAAAAAAACAATGAAAAACTTGTTTAAGCTTACACAGAGAAGGTAAACAATGGATGAATTACTGAGAGAAAAAAATGGATTAGACTGAACTGCTTCAAGGCGACATAAAGTCTTATCTCTTATCGATTTCTTTTCTGGAGAACTGGAATGATTTTTGCACCTTGCTCGAATAAGCTGTAACTTCTGTTTACTTTTCTGTCAGTCTCTTGGGACTATCAGCTAGGGTGATAGTTACTAAACATTACTACAACACGACACCAAAGAGACAAATTCAAAGCTACGTAGAAGAAAGTTTTTGTTTTAGCGTTTCAAATTCAAAATCCTGTTTGTTTTATATATGTTCTACATCGATCACTGACACTCATGGGAAATACACAAATATGATATCTTTACTAATTTACTTTACCGCAGAAAAAAAACAAGAAAAAAAATGAGGAGATTTGAGATAAGAAGATGCCAAAATTGCAAGTGCTTTAAAAACTATGACAGCATTTGAAAGTATAGGTTTTAGTTGGATTCGAACCACAACATATTGTTATGAATATTCAAGAGTGGTCACCCATTGTTTTGTTAGTCTCTTCTTTGAGAGAGCTATTTCTGTTTACTGGGACTATAAAAAAGCACTAAACGCGAAGCTTGTATTCTCAGTTGAATAAAGCTTTCTTAAAGCCATTAGACCACGTTAGAGTGCCCTTTGATATTCTAAGCGTTACTCACTGCCAAGTCAGAATTGATCGAGCGAGAGATGCTTAGTTTTGTCCTTACACATATGATAACAGGAGATAATACGCAACGCTATTATGACACAGATTCTAATAGTTCGACTTGTACATGGTTATTTTCTAAGCTTAGCTTAGATGTTGCACAAGGCCGAAAGTATGGGACACCCAGTAGGGAACAAACTCACTACTCAGTCGTAATTAATCTAGCGAGACAAGCTTGCTAACCATTACACGATTTCGAAGTACTAAAACGATTTTTAAAGTTTAGTTTAGATGTTGCACACGACTGAAAATAAGAGGCACCCAGTGAGGATCAAATTCACTATTCAGTCATAATCGATCTAGCGAGAGAAGCTTGCTAACCATTAGACCTCGTTAAAGTGCCCTTTGATTTTCTAAGCGTTACCCACTGCCAAGTCAGAATTAATCTAGCGAGAGATGCTTGCTAACCATTAGACTACGTTAAAGTGCCCTTTGATTTTCTAAGTGTAGCTCACTGCCAAGTCAGAAGTGATCTAGCGAGAGATGCTTGCTATTACCTCACGTCGAAGTGCTCCATGTGTCTGGAGATCAGACCCCCCCCCCAAATAAAACCCAAAAAACCAAAAAACTATGAAGATTTTCATACGTAAAAGCATATACAATAATGATCGGTGACTTTCTATGTATTTGTCAAAGTACTTTAAGATAATAGATTCTTGGTTAGGCCGAGAACTTTTATATCGGCCATCATCGAGGAAGGGAGCTTAGAAAACTGGAAGGTACAGATTGTTCTTTAAATCTCTTGAAATATTTGATGAAGTAATCGGTTATGATACGAAATTACTGTCAATCGAATGAATTGTGACGCAATGTCACGTGCTTGACTTGATTATAAACACCGTGTTAATTATACGTATCAGTATAAAGTTACTTTTATAGATGTCAAGTCAGGGTAAGGTCGGGGTGTCTAAATTTGAAACGGAAGATGTTTTCGCCTAGTCTGGTTTACTTGTCTATGGAGATCTTTTATTTTTATTTTATTTCTTTATGAAAGGGATTTGTGCATATAAAAACTGCCGTAACATTTGTTTTTAGACGACTTCATAAAGGGTTATCTTTCTTCTTTTTTTTGTAGGTTATTTAAACTATATATTTGGGCTATGGATTATAAAAGTTATTATATTGTATGCTTGTTTTTAGCTAATTATTCAGTGCATAAATTTGATGATGTCGGCAAAAAACCGTTAACTCATGTCTATTGTTTAATATATTATTATTATTTAGAAGCTTAATAATGTGCAATTTCTCATGGAGGCACAAAGGGCATGGGTCATCCCAAGCTTTACAAGTTCTAGCCCTATTTATAATTTTCTATTTTACTTTAGGTGTCCTATTTATTTCTTTCAGATGCCAAAAATATTTTGACAGGGAAGTCTGATTTGTTTTATTTATATTGTTGAAAGAGCACTTATGCTGCCTCCATCTGGCTTTAAAATCATTCTTCGTGGATCCAAAAATGTTTTTTTTCTTGGACCCAACGTTTTTTAAAGAAATTCAGAGTAGCCTCAACCTATTGCCATATATATATATATATATATATATATATAATTAAATAATTCATTTCATATATATATATTTCTTTCTAACTTTGAGACTCATCTGTAGAATCGAACCTGGACCGTTACGATACGACGCAAGCGTCATACCAACTGTCCACGGTGATAAAGAGATAAGAATCGCATTTGGCAGCATATATGGTGCACTTTTTTATTTTTACCTAAAAATATCTTTTAAAATACCCCTGCGTCTTATAAGCCATATGTAGGTTTACTAATTTTACTAATTACTAATTTTTTCTTGACTTGCTCTCCTGAATTGGTGTGCGTCTTATCTACCTGTGTGTCTTATATGCCGTCAAATACGGTAATTAGACTCAATATAGCGCCGCTCTTCACAAATTCCGTGGTGTACCTCATCTGCGTCTCCCTAACCCCACAGACTGTGCCCCGACGAGCCACGTCTTTTATCCCCAAGCCGCTCCATCCAGAGCATTAGAAGACAGTTCAAGCAAAGATATACAAATGATAGAAATTATTAGGTGGATTTGAAATAATCGTGATTAATTCATCGCGTCTAGAAGAATCCTCAACAGAATGTAGAAAGCACTAGACGGCCGTTTCGTCCTATATTTGGGATTCATCAGCAGGGCGTATCCACTACCAAGAATCGAAACCCGGACTTCACCAACGGGCCTCGGTGACGAAGAGGTAACTATTTAGAATCGATATAGTGCTGCTCTTC